CATTTCCCCAAATTTGATGCCATTTTGTGTGTTGCTTTCGCTAATATGGGAATTTATATGAACCCGTAACTGTGGTATGTGCATTTCTGTACACTGCTCAGTTCCGGTTTGCAAACCTTTTCCAGAAGCCGAACGTACTCCGTTTTGAGTGCCACACTTCGGTTTTGAGTATTATGCTGAGGCTTGTCTGTTTTTGCTATTTATTTTGCGTTTTTGTTTTCGCGGCTCTTTTTCGTTTTGTTTTTGTGACTGTGTGGAACCCAGTTCAGCTACTGGTGGATTGACTGATTGTGTGACTGCAGTACACTGTTTATTGCTTTTGTTTTATGGATCGACGGTCTCATTAGATAGTAAAATACACGTTAAAATTGCTGTTTTAGGGGTTGTTTTTAAAAGTCTGGAACGGATTAATCCGTTTTGCATTACTTTCGATGGGAAAGCGTGCCTTGGTTTTGGAACGCTTTGGTTTTGGAACGGACTTCCGGAACAGATGAAGTTTGAGAAACAAGGTACCACTGTACAAGGAAGGAGATGCTGGCACAACATTAGGAGGAACTTTCTGAGCTTTTTGACAAGGGAAGGGAGTCCCTTGGAAGATTATGTCCTCTCCTTCATGGGAGGCTGGGTGGCCACCCGTCAGGGATTCTTTGCAGGGGGTTGGACTAGATGCCCCTCAGAGGTCCCTTCCAGTTCTACAGTTCTGTGATTCCATTATTCTTCAGGCCCATCCCGGTACTCTTAAAAGCAGAAGAGCAGACTGGGTGCTTTTTTCCCAGACAGTCGACAACTCAAGACTTAGGCCAGGCTTCCTCAACCTCGGCCCTCCAGATGTTTTGGACTACAACTCCCATGATCCCTGACCACTGGTCCTGCTAGCTAGGGATCATGGGAGTTGTAGGCCAAAAACATCTGGAGGGCCGAGTTTGAGGAAGCCTGACCTAGGAGATCCATTTTGCAGCGGGTGAGTGACAGAGACGAAGCTTCAGATTTGCACCCTAAAATTATATTGTAATTATTGTTGTTGTTAATAGCAGCACTAATAATAATGTTTAAAGTGCCTTCACTATGCATGTTCTCCATAATGGAGGGGCATTGATCACCTTCATTGTACAGCTTTCGGCATCTGTTGGAGACACAATTATCTCCCCCCAGCCTTTGATGGCTAAACTGTTTTGTTTTGTGAGAACCACCTCCTTGGCTGTTCCATTTTGGAGGAGGGTTTTTGGGGGTGGGTGTTTTATAAGTATATATATTTTTTGTTTTGGTTTATCGTGGTAGATTCCATTGTCATCACCTGCCCTGGGCCATTATGGGGTAGGCCAGGTTAAAACAAAAAACAAAGGATACTTTAAAATAAATAATTTGCCAAGAAGAGAACGCCCTGGTCTTGAGGCATTTACAGCCCACACTTTGACACAGGAAGAACTGGAGGCTGCAGAGGCAAATGGAATCCTTGGATGGATGGATTTATTGCATTTATTGTGGGAATGTTCAGGGATGCAGGAGAGGATATATTGTTTGGTTACAGCCTTTCCAACTTGTGTTAACAAGTTCACAATTTAGCAGAGTAACATTCCCCTTTTTAAACTCAGCGGATGCGTTTGCTCAGGCTCGCTAAAGCCTCTATAATAACTGTTCTGGTATTTTCCCCTTATTCCCTCATAAAAGATAAGACACGACACAGTCTTCTATAAAAGTATATCAAAGTTTTACTCACACATCATTCTGTTCACAATAGGATCCCAGAAGGCAGACTTAGCTTAGAAAAGTAACATATACCTGGAAACTATCTCAGAAGGAGACAGTCCCTCTGTTCTCCAAGAGAGCATCTTTGGCTAAGCAGAAGTTGCTTCTTCGATGCATGTAGTCAAAGAGGGAGAGATGGCTGCCCTGCCCTGTGCTTTTGTCGTTACCTGCACAGGTGAGGCCCCGCCCACCTCTGGTCACATGCAGAGGAAGTCTGTCCCAGCCCAGAAGGAAACAGGAAGTTGACCTGCTGGCTGGACAAACATTCCTCCCCATGTGAAAACATGTTCACTCTGGGAATGTTGTACTTGGCTGCTCTTGTGTTTCACATCCCACATTTATATCCCACAATTTTCTCCAAGGAGCATGAGGTAGCATGCATGGTTCTGAACCTCCTCGTTTAATCCCCACAACCACCCTGTGAGGTAGGTTAGACAAAGAAAGAGAGAATGACTACAGACAACGTGGTTCATGGCCGGGTGAGGGATTTGAACCCTGATCTCTCCCAGGTCCTAGCCTGACACTCTAACCACTAGACCACCCTGTCTGCAGTCGGAGGCAGCAATCCTTCCAAAGGCCAGCTGCTGGAAACCACAGGGAGGGGAGAGTGGCTCTTGTGCACGGATCCTGCTCACCAGTTTCCCATTCAGGGCATCCGGTCAGCCACTGTGAGAACAGGCTGATGGTGCAGCCATAAAACCGCTGGCACATTTGTGAAGCTAAGCAGGGTCTGTTATGGTTTCAGCTTGGAGGAGGGACCACGTGCTGAGATTCCAGGGGGTTGGACTAGATGACCCTGGGGTACCCTCCGACTTTATCGATCTGCAGCAGAAGGGGGGCTTCCGGTCGGGAGTGACGGTGCCACGCGGCTCTCCCCAGGCGCCTGCCCCATTCATCCGAACGAGGCCAGTCCGCCAGGGAGGCATTTTTGATGGCTCATTACGGGCTAATGAAAGCAGTCTAGCAATAAGCCTAACAGCTCCTAAATGCCGCCGCGTGCCTGGCTTAGCGGGGAGATAATGTGCGGGAGCCGAGGCAAAGCGCCCCACGGGGGGACCTGCCTGCTTAAACCGGTTGACGCCTGCAGCGTGCAGATAGCATTCTTGGCTCGTGGCTTCTGCACCCACCCCCTCTGCTTCTTTTAAAAACAAACCTAAACAATAATAATAATAAGTTTGACTTGGAAGAAGTGTGCCCCGGGGGCATGTGCAGAGTGCAAATGCCGCCTGTCTCTCTTCGCTGTGATTCCTGCATTGTTGGACTAGATGACTCTAGAGGACCCTACGCTACAGCTCCATCATTGTACAATCAGGACTTCTTCCCCTGCCTTCCTGCAGAAACCAACGTCATTTTCGGAATATGAGTCGGCCTGCCCTATAAGATTGGCAGGTGGGACGCTTCTGTTCCCCCCGCCACTGCTGCCTTGCAAAAGGTGATCAGTGATGGCTTTCTTTTCACTGCTTTGCGGGGGGCTTTTTCATCCAAGGGCCGCATTTGCTTCTGAATGACCTTTTGGGGGCCACATGCTGGGAACCAGGGCCAAAAATGGCCAGAACAATAGTTTACTTTCCAAACCATCAGCTGGTTCTTGCACGTCCCTCCTTTCTCTCTGCCCTCTATCCTGGCAAAAACACATGGAAAGAGGTGGTGGTGAGGGTCCTTGCGAGGGCTGTGGCCTGGGGAGGGTCCCCAAGACCTGAGAGGGTGTCCTAGGGGGCTGCATCTGGGTCCTGGGCCTCAGGTTCTCGCCCCCAGCCAATTGCTGCAGGGGCACCCAGCTGTGGATTTCTCTTCCGCAGGGTGTTTAAGCTGCCCCTCTCTCTACCGGGGTCCCTGCTGTCATTTTTAATGACTTTCTCCTCCTTCGCTATTCATATTCCCTGGGAAGAAAGATGATTGAAGGGGCAGCATAAAAACCACCCGTATGACTTTCCCCAGCAAACTTTTGCTGATCGTTCCTGCTGCTTTTCAGAAAGAAAGATTCTGCTGTCAGTTTTTTTGTTCGGGCCCAGCTTTAAAAATCAGTGCGGTTTTTTAATTGCTGCTCTGCTGATCACAAAAAGATAATTAGATGGTTACTGCCCCCCCCCCCATTTTTTGCCTCTTTGCAGCCTTTGGTGTTTTTTTAGAGGGGAAGAGGCAGGGGTATAAATTTGCTCAGTGCTTTTTTAAGAAAAAAAATGTTTAGGGGTACTCTCATTTTACTACTCATATTGAAGTACTGCCCCTCAATGAGGCCAAACTTAGATTCAAAAAAATGTTTAGGGGTATGCGTACCCCTGCGTACCCCTGCAGAAAAAAGCACTGAATTTGCTTATAGATAAAAGAAGAACAAGAGGCCCCTCTGGGCAGGGAGTTCCAATCAGGTGCAAGAAAAGATCCACACAGATCCCACTGCAGTGATCCAGTCTTGAAGTAACCAAGAGCTGTCTCAGTGGTGGCTGCACCCAGGCAACTTTGGAACTCCCTGCCTAGAGAAGTCAAGCTGGCTCCCTCCTTGCTGTTCCTCTGCTAGCAGGTCTTTGGAAACGGGCCGTTTTTTAAGGAAAGGGCTTTTAATAGTGCTGTGCTGTTTCTACTACTTAATTCGTTCTGGAGGTCTGTTCTTAACCTGAAACCGTTCTTAACCTGAGGTACCACTTTAGCTAATGGGGCCTCCCGCTGCTGCGCGATTTCTGTTCTCATCCTGAAGCAAAGTTCTTAACCTGAGGTACTATTTCTGGGTTAGTGGAGTCTGTAACCTGAAGCGTCTATAACCTGAAGCATCTGTAACCCGAGGTACCACTCTATCTGTACAGTGGACACTCGGGTTGCGAACGTGATCTGCGCAGGAAGCACGTTTCCAACCCTGAAGCGTTCACAACCCGCAGCACCGCATCTGCGCATGCGCAGGTTGCGATTCGGCACTTCCGCACATGTGCAAAGCGAGACCTGTTCCAGTACTTCTGGGTTCGGCACGGTGCGCCACCCAAAATCGCCCAACCCAAAGCGTCTGTAACCCGAGTTATGACTGTATTTCAATTGATTTGATTTTCATTTTGTTTTGATTTTATTACACATTTTAACTATTCTCCTTTATAGTTTTGTATCTTACCTGTTTGGGGGAAAGACAGGATATAAATAAACAGAAACAATAACAATAATAATAATAATGGCCAGGCCATTTCCCAGGTCAGCGATGGCTGTAGCTTTTGCACCAGTTGCAGCGAATAACCTTCATCGGCGATCTTCCTCTCTCTCTCTCTCGCACCCAGGACTCTCCGCCGCGGAGCCCGACAGGCCGGGGGTCTCTGAGGCTGATGGGGAGCCCACGGTGCCCCCCACCCCCGATGAGCCAGAGCGCGAGGCCCACTTTGTCACTACGGCGCCCACCCTGAAGCTCCTCAACCACCACCCACTCCTGGACGACTTTCTCCACGAGCCCCTTCTCAAGAAAGATTACCTGCGCCAGATTCCCTTCCTGGCTGCCGGCCTCGTGGGTCCGGGGCCTGTCCTTCCGGATGCTGACCTCGGTCCGGTCCCCACAAGCAACCTGGCTGACCAAGATGGCCGCCCCGCTCTCTCCCACGCCGCCACCGGGCCGCCCACCACGCCGCCCATGACCACCGTGTCCCCCACGACCCTGGCAGGCGGGAAGGCCGAAGGGAAGGACGTGGAGAGGACCCCCGAGATGGCCAAGCCAGCCTTCACCACAGACCTCCTGACCACAGCCATGGGGCGGCTGGTGCCGTGGGCCAAATCTGGCCCGCTCTCCGGCCGCACGCAGCCGCCGGTCACCCCTGTGCTGGGTTTCCAGACCGGTCTCGGTGCCTCGGGCCCAGCCACCACCGACGCATTTTCTGGTGGCACCCCGGGCATGGCCGCTGCCCCCACCGCACAACCGGAAGTGACTACGCCCAGGCGGGTATCCGGTGAGGAGGAGGAGACAGCCACAACCACCATCAAGACCACAACCGTCATCACGTCCATTCTGGGTGCAGGTGGGTGACGCAGGTGGGGTGAAGCAGTGGAGGAGAGAAATGAAAACGGCAAGGATCACGGACTGGTTGGTCCCAGAGGAATGGTGGGAGTTAATAGCTGGGAAACCCCAAGGGAAGACCCTAAAAGTGGCCCTATTTTTCAGGGACGTCCCTGATTTAGAGAAGCCATCCCGGTTACTGATTTGATCCCGGAATGTCCCACTTTTCCTTAAAGGTAAAGGGACCCCTGACCATTAGGTTCCAGTCGTGACCGACTCTGGGTTTGCGACGCTCATCTCGCTTTACTGGTCGAGGGAGCCGGCGTACAGCTTCCAGGTCATGTGGCCAGCATGACTAAGCCGCTTCTGGCGAACCAGAGCAGTGCACGGAAACGCCGTTTACCTTCCCACCAGAGTGGTACCTATTTATCTACTTGCACTTTGACATGCTTTTGAACTGCTAGGTGGGCAGGAGCAGGGACCGAGCAACGGGAGCTCACCCCGTCGTGGAGATTCGAACTGCCTACCTTCTGATTGGCAAGTCCTAGGCTCTGTGGTTTAACCCACAGCGCCACCCATGTCCCGGAGTCAGGTGTAGGCTGCAACTAAACAATAACTCACCCAAGGCCAGTGAATTCTTTATTCGAGGAAGCAAGCCACAGCTCAGGCCCAGTGGTCTCAGCAACGTTTCTGGGAGGTCTTGCCAAAATGACATAGTTGCAAGGACTGAAGGCCCACAAGGACTCCTCCTCTTCTCCAGGGTCTTTCCCACATAGTCTGCACACAAGCACCCTCTGCTCTGGCCATTTCATTTCTCTCCAAGTTCTCGGAGACCAGGAAGGGAGCTGGTTGTATCAGAAGACAGAGGAACCCTGGATTCTTCAGCAGCCGGCCTCCACTCTGCCTATTGACCAACCTCCACTCCATCCTCTGATTCTGCACTGCTCTCTGTCCCAGCCTCTTCCTGCTCACCAAACCCTGTCACCTCTCCTGTTGCCAACATTTCCTCCTCCCAGTCTTCTCCCTCTGACCACTCATTGTCATCCCGCCACCGCTCCCCTGGCTCTGAGCCTTCTTCTTCATCATCATCATCAATTATTTCTACCCCGCCCATCTGGCTGGGTTTCCCCAGCCACTCTGGGCGTCTTCCATCAAAAGATTAAAAATACATTAAAGCATCAGTCATTGAAAACTTCCCTAAACAGGGCTGTCTTCAGATGTCTTGTAAATGTCATATAGTTGTTTATTTCATTGACATCTAGTGGGAGGGCGTTCCACAGGGCGGGCACCACCACCGAGAAGGCCCTCTGCCTGGTTCCCTGTAACTTTGCTTCTCGCATTGAGGGAACCCCCAGAAGGCCCTTGGCGCTGGACCTCAGTGTCCAGGCAGAACGATGGGGATGGAGACACTCCTTCAGGTATACTGGGCCGAGGCTGTTTAAGAGATAAGTCCAGAATCAGAGGCAGAATTTGAAGCAGGAGGAAGGCCAAGGGGCAGAGATGGGTCAGGCTTGTGAAGAGGCACGGGTGTCTCCCCCTCCTGCTGCGACAAACTCCTCTCCCCTTTGGTCTCCCAGAACCAGAAGAGGCATGAAAAGGGGCGGAGGAGGGTTTTGGCTTCATGCAGACCCCATCTCCGATTTGAAGAAGAGTCACTGTGCTCATTAGGCCTGGCACTCCTGAGCAGATCCTGTTTCTTCCAATAAAGAGTTAACTTCACTTACTCCATGTGATTTATTGCTGGCTTGCTCCTAACAATCAGGGTCACAACAGCCCTGTGAAATAGGTTGGGGCAGAAGAAAAGGATGTTGCCAGACCCCACCCCCACAACTTCCAGGAAGCAGCGTGGCCAATGGGGAGAGGTGATGGGGCTGCAAATGTCACCCCCCCCATCCTTGACCTGAAATATCCCCAGCGAATGCTTTGGCTCAGTCGGAGAGGCCAGGTTGCTCAGATCTTCGGCGTTGCCAGGCGTTAGATCTGAGCCGTCGGGAGCTGAGCTCCCTAAATTTTAAAAGTGCTTGGCTTTGACCCAGCCATCCCAGGTCTCCGGAAGAATGCCGTTTTAATTGTCAGGGAAACCGTTTAGGGAACAACAATGGAATTAATTATGGATTGGAGTATAGGAAATAGCCGGAAGGCAGGGCTTGGGTTTTTCTGTTTTCTTTCTGTAATGAAAGGAGCAGCGAGAGATTGACGTTCAAAGGGGTCTGCCCTGCTTGGAGCGGGGCCAGGAAGGTTCCCGGGCCTGAAGCAGGAAATGCAAATGGGATTCTGCGCGCACACACACACACACACAACTTATTACAGAAAAGTTATCCTGCACAACTCTGGTTGAAATGAGATTGGAAAATCAGGACCACAGGGCGCAGCTCAGTGGTTAGAGCATCTACAGTATTTTGCAGAAGATCTCCGTTCCCCTGTCTGAAACCCTGGAGAACCACTGCTGCCAGCCAGTACAGACAACTGAGCCAGATGGAACAATGGTCTGATCTCGTTTATGGCAGCTTCCTGTGCGCCTTGTGTGCAGCCCTTAATTCAGAAGCCTGAGGACTGGGATCTTGTTTTTACCTTTAGATGGAGGAGCTGGAGCTGATTGGTAGAGCGGCCGCTTCACATGCAGAAGGTTCCAGCTTCATTCTCCACTGAAATCTCCACGCAGGGCTGGGATAAGACCCCTCTGCCTTGAAACGCTGGAGATAGCTGCTGCCGGTCAGTGTGGACAATACTGATCTCAGTGGGCCAATGATCTGACTTAGTATTAAGGCAGATTATGGAAGCCCCTAGAAGCATCTCCAGTTAAAACGATCAGGTCACAGGTGATGGGAAAGAGACCCTCCTCTCTTCCTGAGACCCTGGAGAGCTGCTGCCAGTCAGTGTAGGCAATGCTGAGCTCGATAGCTCAGTGGACAGACTCAGTATAAAGCAGGTGCCTGTTTATTTGGAGGAGGAGGGCACCATTTTGCCTCCACCTCAGATGATCAAGAGGATGGAGCAACTGCCGTATGGAAAAAAGCTTGCGACATGGGCCGACGATAAAACCAAATGCTGGAAGATTGAGTCCTTCATGTAGCACAGAGTTAGACTGTGGAACTCCCTGCCACAGGAGGCAGTGTTGGTCGCCAACCTAGATAGCTTCAAAAGAGGCTGAGACGAGTTTCTGGAGGAGGAGAGGTCTGTGAAGGGGTAATAGCCTTGATGCTTCTGAATACCCATTGCTAGAAACCACAGGAGGGGAGAGGTTTTTTGTTTTTTTAATTCTCTTTATTGATTTCCATTTAACAATCAAACACAAATTAGCACAAAACAAAATCCTCACAAAAAAAGAAAACAAACAACAGAAAAAACGAAAAAACAAAGACATCATACAACTAATTGTATGGAGGGGAGAGTTTCTCTCGCACTCAGGTCCTACTTGAGGGCAACTGGTTGGCACTGGCCGGATCCAGCAGGCTCTTCTGAAGGTCTTATGCCCCCATCTAGGGCAGGAGAAGGCTTTTGATGCTGGCTGTGATGGGGAGATGGGAGGAAAGTGGAGCTTAGAAGTGCTCCTTCCTTTGTCTAATATTTTGCCCTCTTTGTCCATAGGTCCCTGCAGCTGGAACCTCACTGGCCCCAAAGGCTCGCTGGCCTCTCCCCTCCCCTCTGGCATCCCATACGAAGGGGGGACCCTCGACTGCACCTACACCATCTCTGTGTACCCTGGTTACGGCGTTGAGATCCGGGTGAGTCGTTGAACCCAGCCTGGTAGCTGTCATGACCTGGCGGGATGCAGCCAGGGAACCCCCAAGGGGAGAAGGCTCAGGGCCAGGGGAGGGGTGGTGGGAGGAGGATGAGTGGTCAGAGGGAGAAGAGGGAGCGGACGGGGAAGAGGAGGTGTCCGAAGGTGAAAGGCAGCAGGATTTGGTGAGCAGGAAGAGGCTGGGGCAGAGAGCAGTGCAGAATCAGAGGCAGAAGCGGAGGCTGGAGAGAAGGAGGGCCAAGAGGCAGAGGGGAGCCTGAAGAAACTAGGGGGTTCCCCCCTCCTACAGTGACAAGCTCCCCTTTTCGCTGGTCTCCCAGGACCAGAAGAGGTGTGAAGAGGGAGGAGCAGAGAGTGGCATGTAGGCATAGCCTCAGACTGCTTGGGAAGGACCCGGGTGAACAAAAGACTTCGGGAACTGTGGGAAGACGGGGACCTTCAGCCCCCCAAACTGCCTCCTCCGGGCGAGATTTACTGGGACGAGTTGTTATGCTTGTTTCTTTGAATGAAGAGTTAACTTCAGTGATTCTGTGTGAATTACACCTGTTCCTGGCTGAAACTTCCGTCTTCAAGAAACCCTTTAGGAGAAACAGGTCCTCAAGACCCAGGACAAAATTCTGGATGGATTTGGAGGGTGTGTTTGAATACTTTTAGATTCATCAAGGATGGGGGACATTTTGTAGCCTGAGGGCCGCGTTCCTTGAGCCCCAGATTTTTGTCCTTTATCGTCCGTAAGAGAGCCTCGGCCCCTTTTCTGGGGTGGGGGCAGGTAAGACGAAGGAGGCCGGCAGACAGAGGAGCCCCTCTTCTCGCCTGCAGGGTTAAGCGAGGAGAGGGACGACGACACGGGACCCCTGGCTGCATTCTAATGCCACGTTACAAATACAGACATCTTGTCTCCGGGATGCAGCCAGCCGTGCCGGCCCCGAAAGGCAACAGCAGCAAATGTCAAATCGATAGACGTGGCATTTGGCCGACATTTCGACAATACCTGCTTTCTCCCTCCGCGCCACGTCCCCCGGGGCTTCATTAGGCCCAGGCGGAAGGAGGCTTGGCGGGCGGACGTGCCGGCGGAGGGCCCTGCGGCCGTGATACCGCCTCCGGCCCGGACTGGGGGGCTCTCCCCAGTGTGGCATTAGCTGGTGGGGAGGGCAGGGGGTGTCGCGAGCATCTTCAGTGAAGTGTAAAAAAGACTCCTGAAATTCCCGGGGGGGGGGGGGGGGAGAGAGATTTCTGTGAAATTGGGACTCTGTGAGATTTCCTCTTTTTTTCTCTCTTTTTCTTCTCTGGCAGCTAAATTAACAACTCCCTGAAACGCTGCCCTTACACCCCCTTGAGCCATTCTGGGGAACAGAACATCCCCAGTGTAGGCATTATGTTTTTGCAATGTAGGCAGGGAGATCCGCACCCAGGACCTGGGCCTGGCGAGAGAGGGACCCATGTGGCGGGTTGCTTTTTTTTAAGAGCAAAAGCAGTGATATCCAGGGACAGGCGAATTGGTCAATTTCAGTTTCTTGGGTTCTCCACCCCCAGAGAGAGAGAGAGAGAGAGAGAGAGAGAGAGAGAGAGACATATTCGGTTCTTCACATCTTCCCATCAGTTGGCAAAAAAACCTTTTTTTAAAAAAAGGTTTTTAAAATTAATCTTCATTTTGGTGTTAATTTCTCCTGGGAGACCAGAACTCAGACCCTCCCGCTCAGCCGTGAAGATTCCTGGTTGTGACCTTTGGGCCCATGCTGCCTCTCAGCCTAACCCTCTTCACAGGGTTGTTGTGCAGATTCATTGAGGAGAGGGAAGAAGAAGAAGAAGAAGAAGAAGAAGAAGAAGAAGAAGAAGAAGAAGAAGAAGAAGAAGAAGTTATCCAGCGCTCTAATCACCTCACTTCTTCCCCTAAAAAAATCACTCCTCCAAATTCCCCTTTTCCTCAATCTGCCTCACAGATCCTGCGTTTGGCTGGGGTGGTCTAGAGCAGTGTTTTTCAACCTTTTTGGGGCAAAGGCACACTTGTTTCATGAAAAAAATCACGAGGCACACCACCACTGTGTGCGGAGAGGGAGATGTCAGAGCCCCGCTGCTCTCTATGGGGAATCGGATGAGAGCAGACCGCCTATCCGCTCTCATCCGATCTGATCCCCACCCAGGACGGATGGAAAATAGGGTGGACACAGTCCGGCGCCCGCCTAGTGGGCGAATATTTGACATTTTTAATTTTTTTTAAATCTTTTGAATTTTTCCATTTTCCCCACGGCACACCAGGCAACATCTCGCGGCACACTAGTGTGCTGCGGAACAGTGGTTGAAAAACACTGGTCTAGAGGACCTCTAGGCTCCTTCTGACTCTACATCCCTTTCCTTTGTGTGTGGCGAGCAGCGACCGCCTGCTCCACATCCAAGCTGTGCTCACCAGGGCTTTTCTCCTCGTGTTCCTGTCTCTCTCCTCCCATAAATCACTCGGCATCCTGCTAAACCTCACGGAGAGGGAGATTCCCGTCCCACCAGCACTCACAATCTGGTTCCCCTTCTCCGTCTCGGCGCACTTGCTCTTCTGCCGATCCATCTTGGGCACCTTTGGTGTAATTAGTGCAAGGAGGCTCCTGACTTTGGCTGTTTATCACCGAGCAGCTCCGTTTAATTACCGTAATTAATATACAATCACCACTTTAATGAGAGACGGCAACAGTGACTCGTTTATCAAGATAAGTTATGCAGCCGTCGCCACCGGAGGACGTGGCAGCAACCGGGAACAATATGCTTTGCGTGCAAAAGGCCCCGGGTTCAACTCTGGCAGCATCTCCAGGCGGGGCTCGGAAATATTCCCCGTCTGAAATCCTGGGGAGCTGCTGCCAGTCAGTGTAGGGAATATTGAGTTAGATGGACCGTGGGTCTCAGTCAGTAGAAGGCAGCTTCCTATATTCCTATATTCCTATTTAAAACATTTCTTTTTTAAAAAAAAATCATGAGGACTAGGCTCTTTCTTTTCACAGAAAGGGCTGCAGCTCAGTGTTTTGTATGCAGAAGGTCCCAGGATCAATCTCTCATGGCATATCCAGGTTGGGCTAGGAAGGATTCAGGACCCAAAAATAGAAAGGACTTATTCGGGCAGCCTGTAGTTAAACTGTGGAACTCATGTCCACAAGCAGGAGCACAATAGAAACTCTTCCCCGCTTGTGATTCCCAGCAACTGCCATTCAGAGGCATTTACTGCTTAGCAGATATTCAGGTTCCCAGTTCTGGCTTTGTTCACCTGTTTTTTGTACAGTGGAACCTCGGTTTCCGAACGTAATCCATTCCGGAAGTCCGTTCGACTTCCAAAACCTTTGAAAACCAAGGATCAGAGGGCTGTCAACAAGTTCAACGGGGAAAATTGAGAAATGTGCCGTTTGATTTCCGAGGCATGTTCGAAAACAGAAGCATTCACTTCCGGGTTTTTAGCGTTCGGCTTCCGAAACGTTCTGCAGCTGAGAGACGTGCGAAAACCGAGGTTTGACTGTACCACTGGTGGGACTCCTGTAGACAAGAACCCACGCCATTCTGGCAGAAAGAGCAGATCGACAGCTGAACTCTCCTTCCTTGGAGGTTTCCAAGCAGAGGTTGTCTGGTTTCCCTCGCTGCAATTCCTGGGGGTTGGACTAGATGACCCTGTTAGAATTCCTGCTCCCTGATTGCAGTCATGGGATTGTTGTCTATCACATGACGGTGTATGTTTTCATTCCACAGAGTGGGAAGTGATGGAGACAGGATGTTTGTGTTACTGTGTTCCGTGAAGTGGGACTATTGTCCTTTGCTCTTTGCTGTCTGATACTAGAGAGAGAGGGAGCCATGTTGCAGTGCTCCGTGTGTGTTTATATGTAAATAAAGTAGATTAGCCAAAAATGCTGAGTTGCTGAGGTCTGTTATGCAAGTTGCGCAAACTCTGCGGATCCCTAAGTGTGCCGGTGTTGGTTGGCATTGGTCGCTGTGATGTTCGGGCAGCAGAAAGCTTTTGCAGCTCCCGAACGATTGACCAGGAGGGAGGGAACATGCCAGTTGGGCCTGTGTCTCTACCAGAGTCCTACTCGAGTGTAAACCGAGCTCCTGACAGACTCAGGGACCCCTTTCATGGGACCCCGTCCATAAATAGCAACACCCTAGAGGTCCCGGGCCCTAAGGAAGATTAGCCTCAACCAGAGCCAGGGCCTTTTCAACACTGGCTCCGGCCTGGATGAACGCTCTGTCTCTTGAGACCAGGGCCCTCCGGGATCTGATTTCTTTCCGCAGGGCCTGTAAGACAGAGTTGTTCCACCTGGCCTTTGGCTTGGAATCAGTCTGATTCCCTCCCCCCTCTTTCTTTTTTCCTTTCTCCTCCTGTGAAGAGGCTGCATCTTAATGTTTTAATGTTGTATTTTATTCTTGTTTTTAAGTTGTATTTTAATCAACTTGTTTTTATTATTGGTTGTTAGCTGCCCTGAGCCCGGTCTTGGCTGGGGAGGGTGGGGTATAAATAAAAATTATTATTATTATTATTATTATTATTATTATTATTATTATTATTAGCCTGTGGTAGACCACCCCCATCTCACCTCCCAGTTAACGCATCTGGGTGTGCACCCTCAGAGTTCCTCTTCCTTTTTCCCTCTCTGCAGGTCCAGAACATCAGCCTTGCGGAGGGAGAGACGGTCACCGTGGAGACGCTGGGGGGCGTAGAGCCCGTCGCCCTGGCCAACGAGTCCTTCCTGATGCGCGGGCAGGTGATCCGCGGCCCGACCAATCAGGTTGTGGTGCGCTTCCAGAGCCCATCTTCCGCCAATCCAGGGACCTTTCATTTCCGGTTCGAAGGTGAGAGCGCAGGTCCTTCACCTACCACTAGGGGGGGACATGCAGCTGCTTTATTCTAAACCAGTGGTTCCCAGACTTTTTTTGTTCATAGGTGAATTGCCACGCCCACTTTTCTCTCTGGCCACGCCCAACCCTGGCATGTGCCCCTGCCCTCTCTGGAAGGTTTCCCCAGAAATGAAGGGGGGGGACTTTCCCCAGCCTTGTGTGGTTCAAGTGTTGGACTAGGACCTGGGAGGGCAGGGTTCAAGTCACGACTCAGCCATGAAGCTTGATGTCAGGCCAGTGACTAACCTACTCCCTGGTCCTGAATGGGGTAACTGTGCCCCTGAAGGTGCGCAGCCTGGGAGTCATTCTGGACTCACAGATGTCCATGGAGGCCCAGGTCAAGTCTGTGTCCAGGGCAGCTGTTTACCAGCTCCATCTGGTACGCAGGATGAGACCCTCCCTGCCCGCAGACTGTCTCACCAGAGTGGTGCATGCTCTGGTTATCTCTCGCTTGGACTACTGCAATGCGCTCTATGTGGGGCTACCTTTGAAGGTGACCCGGGAACTACAACTAATCCAGAATGTGGCAGCTAGACTGGTGACTGGGAGTGGCCGCCGAGACCACATAACACCGGTCTTGAAAGACCTACATTGGCTCCCAGTACGTTTCTGAGCACAATTCAAAGTGTTGGTGCTGACCTTTAAAGCCCTAAACGACCTCGGTCCAGTATACCTGAAGGAGCGTCTCCACCCCCATCGTTCTGCCCGGACACTGAGGTCCAGGACCAAGGGCCTTCTGGCAGTTCCCTCACTGCGAGATGTGAGGTTACAGGGAACCAGGCAGAGGGCCTTCTCGGTGGTGGCGCCCGCCCTGTGGAACGCCCTCCCACCAGATGTCAAAGAGAAGAACAACTACCAAACTTTTAGAAGACATCTGAAGGCAGCCCTGTTTAGGGAAGCTTTTAATGTTTCATAGGTTATTGTATTTTAGTGTTTTATTGGAAGCCGCCCAGAGTGGGTGGGGAAACCCAGCCAGATGGGTGGGGTATAAATAAATTATTATTATTATTATTATTATTATTATTATTATTATTATTATTATTATTATTACTATGACCCCCCTGAGCAGCAAATGCTGGGAATGAGAAGCAGGAAAGGGTGTTATTTTTATGCACGGCCCCAAACCATACACGCCAGGATTCTTGGAGCGATCTTTCTCGCTGCGCCCACCCACCCCCCTTGTTGGCAGATGCAGGCGAAGAAATTCACAGAGCCTTCTGCTCCCACCCGATGCCCGCCTGCCTGTGGATCTGCAGGCCGCTCCACCAGCCCGCCCACGCCACCAGCCAGGGTGCCGTGGCAGCGCCAGGATTCCCTTCCCACCCCCCTCGCAGCTGCAGCGCAATTAGCTAATTGGGAGCACGCTAATCGCTGTCGGAGCTAATCGCCGAAGCTGGCAGGTTAGAGCGGGCACCCACCAAAGACTCGCTTAATGGGGAGATAATTGGTCCCAGCAATTAACGTAATTTGCGCGGAGCACCGGGAGGGGGGGGCTGGCATTGAGAGAAAGATATATATATATACACACCTGTCTCCCAGCCCCACGGTGCGCCCCGCCAATGTTGACACACCCTGTCACAACAGCTGAAGCCCCCAACACACACACAACCCCCTTTCTCGCAACTGGCACCAGAGGCGGATTTCGGGGAGCGTGACCGGTTCAGCCGCACTGGGTGCAGAGCCTCGCGTGATGTCACTGTGATGTCAGGCGGAAGGTGATTGGTGGCCGGGAGCCGAATTTTGATGTCCTGCAAAATTAGAAATTTGAGACCCCACAGTCTGCCCCTGCTGGCATCAATCCCTGCCTGTGCCCTTTCTTCCGGCACATGTGGCCAGTAGAATCTGTTAGGAGTATTTGCACCTTCTAACAACCTTGGTCCAGCTCTCTTTATGATCCAGCTCTCACTTCCATACATCACTAGCTGGACCATAAAGAAGGCTGATCGCCGAAGAACGGATGCTTTTGAATTCTGGTGCTGGAGGAGACTCTTGAGAGTCCCATGGACTGCAAGAAGATCAAACCTCTCCATTCTGAAGGAAATCAGCCCTGAGTGCTCACTGGAAGGACAGATCGTGAACCTGAGGCTCCAGTACTTTGGCCACCTCATGAGAAGAGAAGACTCCCTGGAAAAGACCCTGATGTTGGGAAAGATGGAGGGCGCAAGGAGAAGGGGACGACAGAGGACGAGATGGTTGGACAGTGTTCTCGAAGCTACCAGCATGAGTCTGACCAAACTGGGGGAGGCAGTGGAAGACAGGAGAGCCTGGCGTGCTCTGGTCCAGGGGGTCACAAAGAGGCGGACACCACTAAATGACTAAACAACAACAACAAATAACCTGGGGCCTGTCCCCTTCTCTCTGCCAACGCTACCTCGCAAGGTTGTTGTGAAGATTTTTAAAAAATAGATGAAAACAGCATGCTCCTTGCATGAAAGATGGGATATCGCTGCAATAAATAAGTGAAATAAATAACAACAACCAACACGCAACATAGAACCCATTCGTCATATTCAGAGACAAAATCGATCCCAGATAGGGCCGTGTTCATGTGTTTATTTCCTTATTGCTGTTACACATAGCTTTGCATTTAAAATCTCTATTAAATCACTTTGAATTTAGAAATAAATATTTAAAGCCTTAAAAAAAAGATGTATAAATATAATATGATGTTCCTTTAACAACCCCCTCCCAATACACATAGATTTATATTTAAATCTGTAGCAGCAAATCACTTGGAGTAGTTAAATATTTAAAGCCTTTACCCCCCAAAAAATCTGTAAAAAATATACCGTTAATAGAATTCTGTTCCTTTAATCCTGCGCGCCGATCTGCAGCAAATCGCTTTTAAGTAGCTAAAGAAATAAACATCTAAAAATGCTTTTTAAAATAGCTGTATGAATGGAATGGGTCACATGCAATGCCACCCTTACTCAGAGTAGACCCATTGAAGTGAATTTGGTAGTTTGGCTCTGTGAATCTCAACGGGCCTGTTCTGAGGAGGACTTAGTTGAGAGACCACCCAGTATTTATTTATTTATGTATATTTATTTATTGTTTATTCTCTGGGCATAAAAAAAGGTGTCAGACTAATTCCAGATTAAGCTTTTGCTTCCTTTGACTAGCAAAGAAAAACTGTGTCTTTTTACAATTGATCTCTTTTCCCCTGACTTCTACCTCTTAATTTCACTTAAAGGATATCCCCCGCACACACAACATAATTTCATATTATGTATTGAGACGGTCTAGTATTTTGAGAGTTATTGTCATGATGTATTGATTTTGCATTTGTTCACCCCAATCATTGAATCATGGAGTTGGGGGCCCCCAAAGGTCATCCATCCCAACCCCCTTCAATGCAGCAATCACAACTAAAGGATAGCTGTCCTACCTCTGCTTAAAAACCTCCAAGGAAGGAGAGCCTGCCACCTCCTGAAGTGGTGTGTGCGAGAGCCATTTTAGGCACGCAGTATTTACATGAATAGTGTGGCATAGCGGTTAGAACTGGGGACCTGGAGGAAGCCAGGGTTCGAATCCCCACACAGCCAGGCGCTGAGCTCTCAGCTGAACCTTCCTTGCAGGGATGTTAAGGGGATGAAATGGGGAGGGGAGAACCACCTCAGGTTCCTTGGGAAAGATGGTATATAAATGTAATAAATTATTATTAATAATAACAAATACAAGTTGAGTTAATAAATAAATGACACCACACCTTGAACTCAGCAAAGGACAACAATTTGGATGCGCTACAAACATGCAACGCCAGAGGGTGTCAGAGAGCAGGAAATATTTAAACGCCATTTTGCATAGGGTTTCCCCCGTTTGTTATACAGTGGTACCTCGCAAGACGAATGCCTCGCAAGACAAAAAACTCGCTAGACGAAAGGGTTTTTTGTTTTTTGAGTTGCTTCGCAAGACGATTTTCCCTATGGGCTTGCTTCGCAAGACGGAAACGTCTTGCAAGTTTGTTTCCTTTTTCTTAACACCGTTAATACAGTTGCAACTTGACTTCGAGGAGCAACTCATAGCACATGGTGTGGTAGCCTTTTTTAAGGTTTTTAAAGACTTTGGTGATTTTTGAAGCTTTTCCAAAACTTTCCTGACACCGTGCTTCGCAAGACGAAAAAAATCACAAGGCGACAAAACTCACGGAACGAATTAATTTCGTCTTGCGAGGCACCACTGTAATCTAATTTCTGACTTATTTATAGCGTGTTTTCCCCCCCTGCGTGTAGACCCACCCCTTGTCAAATCTGATTCTCTCTCAGTGGGGAATTTGTAGGAAATTCACCCCAATCTGCTCTCTGCTTTCTGCCATGCATTTAAATCACAGCGCAAGAATCCTGGGAACTGTAGTTTGACTTCTCACAATGCTCAACGTTTCCTAGCTCCCTTCGCAAACTATGCTTCCCAGGATCCTTGGGGAATGTGTGCGTGTGTTAAACGGGTTTTTAATGTACACAGCCCAACTCTCCCCATCTCTTTTTCCTTTCCCAGCCTACCTGCTCAGCTGTGCGTTCCCCACGCGCCCGCCCTACGGGGAGGTCTCCGTCACCAGCGTGCATCCGGGGGGCCACGCCTGCTTCTCCTGCGCCACCGGCTACCAGCTGCAGGGCCAGCACTGCCTCACCTGCCTCAACGCCACCCACCCCTTCTGGAGCGCCCGGGAGCCCACCTGCGTCGGTGAGCAAAGCCAGAGGGTACAGGAGGGGGGGGGAGCAGTTTGTGGGTTTGGGAACTGGCAGGGCATCGGACCTCAGCAAGCTTCTCCGGCTGACCTCTCCCTACCGTTGGGCAAATGGAGGCAGCTGCCGCAGGAAACTCAGAACCCTCTAGCTCAGGGCTGCCTCCGCTGGTGAATTTTAATATTGCAAATTTTTAATATACAGTGGTACCTCAGGTTACATACGCTTCAGGTAACAGACTCCGCTAACCCAGAAAATAGTGCTTCGGGTTAAGAACTTTGCTTCAGGATGAGAAACAAATCATGTGGCAGCGCTGCAGCAGCGGGAGGCCCCATTAGCTAAAGTGGTGCTTCAGGTTAAGAACAGTTTCAGGTTGAGAATGGACCTCCGGAACGAATTAAGTACTTAACCCGAGGTATCACTGTGTATATATATATATATATATATATATATGCAGGTTTTGGTGTCCTCGGGTGTCTTCCCGTGTAAAAGTTGGGGTGTCTAGGCGACGTTTCGACGAGGAAGTTCCCAGGCTAGTGTGCCTTTTCTTCTTTTGTTCCTTAATTACTGGAGGGATATCTGGAGTGATTTCTTGAGTGATATCCTGAGTACCACTTGGGTGGGTCATTAGGTGTGGATTAGTTGCTAAAGCCTTCGTGTCTTGACCTTCCTCTCTGCCCAGAACTTTGGAGGCTATACACCACACCTCCTCAACAGTATTTATAGGAACTCAAACACTGAGATCCTGCTCTGTTCCAGTAACAAGAAGCCGAAAGCACCAGCCTGAAGATGACGAGTGAGACCTCGTCGAAACGTCGCCTAGACACCCCAACTTTTACACGGGAAGACACCCGAGGACACCAAAACCTGCATTCCTGTACCCGTGAAAATCTACGAAAGCATATATATATATATATATATATATACACACACATACACACACACACACATTTTTATTAGTTTTAAACTTGTTAATTATCATTCATACAACAAAACTTTTCATCTTATACCATAATTTTCGGACTTCTGTCAACACCTTTGATGATTTTCCGTCCTTATCACTTATTATGCATTTCTTAATTTCCTATGACCTTTAGTTATCTTTAACTAATAATTCTCCTCATTATCTTTTTTTGCAATATTTCAAATAATTCACCTTACAAAATTTCTTGCAAACCTACTAGCGTAATCTGTTCCCCACAATTACTTTTCAAATAGTCCGTAAATTTACTCCAGTCTTCTGAGAATCTCTGGTCCCGCAGGTTTCAATATTCTTCCTTTTGGTTTATCTAATTCTGCATAGTCCATCATTTTCATCCTCCATTCTTCTTTCGTCGGTAATTCTTCTTGCTTCCAGTTTTGTGCCAATAATATTCTTGCTGCCGTCACTGTGTACAAAAATAACCTACAATCCTGTCTGTTAATATCATCTCCTACAATGCCAAGTAAAAATGCTTCTGCTTTCTTAATAAATGTATATTTCAACATTTTTTTCATCTCACTATATATCATTTCCCAGAAGTTTTTCACTTTTTTTACATTCCCACCACATGTGACAAAATGTTCCATCTTTTTCTTTACATTCCCAACATTTATTACTAACTTTGTACGTTTTAGCTAATTTCACGGGCATAATGTACCATCTATACATCATTTTCTTTTAAGGTTAATATTGCATTTTTTACATACCTGCGGCCTGCCCTGCAACCCTGCAGTGTAGGACTGGTAAGGAATGTTGATGGCGGTGAATAAATTGATATTGTTGGAGAGGGCGGGAGGGAAGCCCTTCCTGTAGCCTCACTGAAGCGTCCCTTCTCTCCGCAGCGTCTTGTGGCGGGGTGATCCGGAACGCCACGACCGGGCGCATCGTCTCGCCAGGCTACCCTGCCAACTACAGCAACAACCTGACCTGCCATTGGCTGCTGGAGGCTCCGCAGGGACAGCGGCTGCACCTCCATTTTGAGAAGGTCTCCTTGGCCGAGGACGACGACAGGTTGGCAAGAGAGAGACCTCGAGTTTTTGGGGCGACAGGGTCATGGTGCACTTGTTCCCAGGATGTCTGGGCTGATCTCACACTGAATCCCAATTCCTGCCCCTGGGTGGGGTTATAGAATCATAAATTGTATGGTAGGAAGGGGCCCCAAGGTTCCCAACGTGGGTCACACGCCCCCACAGGGGGGCAATTTGATTTTTAAGGGGAGCAATTCGAGAATGAGTTATTAACAGTGAATGGCCTTTTAGGCTTCCTCCACGTGAATAGGAGTTCACTTTTTGAATAATAAGGATTATATGTTGGGGGGGCATCGTTCTACCTGGACACTGAGGTCCAGTGCTGAGGGCCTTCTGGGGGTTCCCTCAATGTAAGGTGAGGTTACAGGGAACCAGGCAGAGGGCCTTCTCAGTAGTGGCGCCCGCCCTGTGGAACGCCCTCCCTTCAGATGTCAAGGAAATAAGCAGCTATCTTCTCTTTAAAAGACATTTGAAGGCAGCCCTGTTTAGGGAAGCTTTTAATGTTTGATGCATTACTGTATTTTAATATTTTGTTGGAAGCCACCCAGAGTGGCTGGGGAAGCCCAGCCAGATGGGTGGGGTATAAATAATAAATATTATAATTATTTTAGAGATGCTTAGGTGGGGCATGGCCAAAAAAATAGCTTGGGAACCACTGATCTAGCCCCAGCCCCCTGCGAATTCAGGAACCACACTTAAAGAATCGCTGGCAGGGGGCCATCTGACCTCTGTTTAAAAACCTCAGGTGAAAAATAGAATTGCAGAGTGGGCAGGGAGGCCACGAAGAAGTGGATTTAGGGCAGCGTGACGGCCGCAGTTGAGCAGAACGGAAGGCGGGGGACACACTTAATTTTGGCCTGACACGGGGCGCCACTGAATTATGAAAGTCCAAAGTCCTCCCCTGCCCCAAGGGTTATCCAATTAAACTTTGCAATTCTGACCTTTCTTTTTTTTAAAAGCGTGCTGGGATTAAGCCACTTCCTTTTCCCCCTCCCAGGCTAATAATCCGGAACGGGAACGACATTGAGGCTCCGCCCGTGTACGACTCATACGAAGTGGAATACCTGCCCATCGAGGGTCTGGTCAGCAGCGAGAGGGGCTTCTTCATCGAGCTGACCACCGACAGCAGCGGGGTGGCCGCTGGCATGGCCCTGCGCTACGAGGGTGAGTTGGCAAAGGGCACACGGGACAAGGCGCTGGGCTTGTTCCTTTAGGACAGCTACTCCCAAACTTTTAGGGGGCTGCTGGGTTCCATAAACTCCCCCCTAGTGCCCCCACCCTATTAAAATGCATTATTCAGAATAGTGGCTTGCATGACCCACTAAGGAAGATAATAGAGGAGTAAATTCAAAACAGTTGCAATTAATTGCACCATTATTTCAGATCCAATTAAAGCTATTTGCAGTGGTGCCCCGGAAGACGAATGCCTCGCAAGACGAAAAACTCGCTAGACGAAAGGGTTTTGCGGTTTTTGAGCTGCTTCGCAATATGAAATTCCGTATGGGCTTGCTTCGCAAGACGAAAACATCTTGCGTTTTTTGCAAGTTTGTTTCCTTTTTCTTAACACCATTAATACAGTTGCGACTTGACTTCGAGGAGCAACTCATAGAACGCGGTGTGGTAGCCTTTTTTGAGGTTTTTGGTGATTTTTGAAGCTTTTCCAAAACTTTTCCGACACCGTGCTTCGCAAGACGAAAAATTCGCTAGACGAAAAAACTCGCGGAACGAATTAATTTCGTCTTGCGAGGCACCACTGTAGTTTCATTCATTCAACAAAGCGGATAACTGGAGCCTGTGATATCAGGCAGTGGTCCTTTGTACCTCCAGGGCCCCCCTGCTGCCCCCTTGTAAGTGGCACTGTAAGGGAATCACACTGCCCTCCAGGGGGCGCTACCACTCACATTGGGAACCAGCGCTTTCGGCTGCCATACTTTTGGGGGTGAGTGCCATGGGCACTGACATTTCCAGCCTGTCCCCTCCCCCCCACAAGAGGCAGAAAGAAAGAGGGCACCCAACCCCTTCACTTACCCAAAGGATTTGCGTAAAAGTCAGCCATGGTAGAATTAATCATAGCCTAGAAATGGGCATAGAGCTGAAAGGGGAAGTGGCCAGAAGAGCCGCTCTATCCCACTTCCTCCTTCAGCTCTATATGCTTTTCTTTCTTTCTTTTATAAAAAAATTTATTAGTTTTTCAACGTATCATTTTCAACAATATTTAAACATACTTTTACATCTTATACAATTTTTTGAACTTCCACCAATCACATCTGAGAATTTTCCAATCTATTTACTTAATTTACATTTCTTATTTTCACTATTACATTTAAATCTCATAACTAATATCTCTCTTCTTTCTCTTCTTTGCAATATTTCATATATTTCTCCTTACAAAACTTCTTGTAGTCCTACTAGCGTAATTTGTTGATTACAGTTACTCTTCAAGTAATTCGTATATTTCTTCCAATCTTCTGTAAATCTCTGGTCCAGCAGGTTTCAAATCCCTCCTGTCATTTTATCCAATTCTGTGTAGTCCATTAATTTTGTCTGCCATTCTTCTTTCGTTGGAATTTCTTCTGGCTTCCATTTCTGAGCCAACAATACTCTTGCCAGCTCTATATGCTTTTCAGAGGAGGGGAAAGGCAAACCCTCTCAGCACCTCGTGGCCAAGGGGGCAGCGAGTGGGAGGGGAGGCTCGGAGGATTTGTGGGTCCTTGCGGAAGACCTCAGGGGTGCCCATTTAGCTGCTATAGGAATAACGAGTATGACAGGAGGTTGAATGCAGGTGAGCTGTGGTGTCAGGGAACTGCCATCAGCTCAGGAGGGAGAGAGCAAAAGCCGAATGGATTATAGAGAGCCTCCAGGGATCGGGAGAAGAAGCTCCTCTTCAGCGGAGGAGAGTAAAAACGCCTCCAGTGGACAGGAGCTGCAGGAGTCGGAAGTGGCGAGGCGGTCCCAGGACTCCTTGCTGGGGAAAAGCGGGGAGGAGAGGAGTCCTCCGCTACCCACGCCCTCCTTGCGCAGAAAGTATCCGCGCAGAGAGGGAGGCGCAGACTGGGTGTCAAGAAGCTGCTTTGCTGGGGAAAGTTTAGGAACCGCCCACTCATGGATTCTGCCAGCGATTGAGCCAGCCACGGGAGAGTGGGGCTCCGGACAGATAAGGTTTATTTTGGCAGCAAAACAAGGCTTCGCAACCAAGCAGGGAGATATTTGCCCGCTTGCTCTCGAGCAACCCCTTGGAAACATTACATGTGGCATGCTCCAAGACAAGCTGCCGACTAGCTCTGCAGAGGCTCCTTTTATTAGCAGAAGTCAACAATTGGAAACAGCAGTGAAACCACCCTGAACAGGACGTATTTCCATCTAAGCACGTTTCCAGCGTTAGCAAATACACGTGTCAGCAGGTGTTTCCCTAAAATGTTTTCCCCAATACTTGATTACGTCTGCGTCCCCGGTCATGCTCCAGCCAAGCGTTATGTCTAATAACCAAATCTGTGAGAGGACAAACGATCAGGGGATAAACCCTGTTTTCTAACCAAGAAGGCAAAAGGCCAGGGAGCGTGGGCGCAACGCTCCTTGGCACACTGTTGCATGCCTGGTGCAGTGCACAGAAACGCCGTTTACCTTCCCGCCAGAGTGGTACCTATTTATCTACTTGCGCTGGTGTGCTTTCGAACTGATAGGTGGGCAGTAGCTGGGACTGAGCAACGGGAGCTCACCCCGTCATGGGGATTCAAACTGCCAACCTTCTGATCAGCAAGTCCTAGGCTCTGTGGTTTAACCCACAGTGCCACCCGCGTCCCTGAGCCCTGCCTTAGGAGACCCCGGAAGACTCTTGAGCGTGCCGCCAGCTCTCTGACTGATGCCCTCTCTCTCTCGCTTTGCCCCTTGCCAGCCTTTGAACCCGGGCACTGCTATGAGCCATTTGTCAAGTACGGGAACTTCACCACCAGCGACGCGACGTACGCCGTGGGCACCACCGTGGAGTTTGCCTGCGAGGCAGGATACACCCTGGAGCAAGGCTCCGTCATCATCGAGTGTGTGGACCCCACCAACCCGCAGTGGAACGAGACAGAGCCGGCCTGCCGAGGTGGGTGCCATGTTGGAAAGCTTTGGCCGGCTTCTGGTGGCCACAGGCCAGTCGTGGTTAGACCCAGAAGATGGAGGATTAATAGCATGGAAACTACCATATTTTTCGCCCTATAGGACGCACTTTTCCCCCTCCAAAAATGAAGGGGAAATGTGTGTGCGTCCTATGGGATGAATGCAGGCTTTCGCTGAAGCCTGGAGAGCGAGAGGGGTCGGTGCGCACACCTCTCCGCAAGCTTCGCACACCTCTCCGCAAGCAGCGGGAGCCCAGCGCTGGGCTCCCGCTGCTTGCGTAGAGTTGCTTGCATGCTGAAGCCTGCGCGCGCTGAGCTCAGCGCGTCCAGGCTTCGCGGACCTCTCCGCAAGCAGCGGGAGTGCTCCCACGGCTTGCAGAGAGCTGCCTGTTTGGGGGCTGGGGTCGGGGGAAGATCGAGCTTCCCCCGCCCCAGCCCTGCGCCTGGGGGGGAAATAATTTTTTTCCCTTTATTTCCCCCCCAAAAAACTAGGTGCGCCTTATGGGACGGTGCGTCCTATAGGGTGAAAAATACGGAAAATACAGTCGTATAAATAGATAAATAACATGGAAACTAAATACCATATGAAAGTAAATACAGCAGTACCTTGGAAGTCGAGCGGAATCTGTTCCAGAAGTCCGTTCGACTTCCAAAACGTTCAGAAACCAAAGCGCAGCTTCTGAATCACAAGCCCCGTCGGACGTTCGGGTTCCAAAGAACGTTCGCAAACCGGAACAATCACTTCCAGGTTTGCAGCGTTTGGAAATCAAAACTTCCGAGTACCAAGGCATTCAGGATTGAAGGTTCAACTGTATTTCCTCTCTTGCTCCACCCCCTTTTGCCTCAGGCCCCTCCCACCACAGACACACGGCCCTGGGGAGGTTGCTCAGAAGAGAAGGTGGCCCCCAGCTTAGAAGGTTTTCCTACCCTTGCTTCAAAACACGCAACGGAACAAAATGCATTCGCAAATATTGATGTCGTTTCTGATCTTTGTCTTTCTAAACTGATAGTTGATCTTTATTGTATTGTTGAGGTCAAGGTCACATGCTTAGCAGCCATCGCAATTAAGTGGTTTATCGATCAAAAGAACAGTAAAATACAACAAATGCCCCAAATTTCCGGGAGGTTGTTCTGTCCTCCTCTGGCATCCTGGAAACCTACAAAGGGTTAGGAACAACCAGGAGCTTAAAGTAGGGTTGCCATACGTCTGAAATTTCCTGGATACACCCGGGATACTGAAGCCGGAAGAAGTGTCCGGGTGGGAATTGGCCAAAATGTCCGGGAAAATCCTGACGCATGGCAACCTATGTCGGCAGTGTTGTTTTTGCCAACTTTCCTTAAAAATAGCTCACAAACTTCTCTCTTCTTTGTGATTTTTCAACTCATGTCTATATTTTGGCGGATTTCCATAAAAGTAGCTCACAAACTTCTCTCTTTGAAATTTTGCAAAGAAAAAAATGCGCAAAATATTTCACTTTTTGAAATATGGCAATCGTAGCTTAAAGGGAAATCCTAGTGGTTCATTTGCGAGCAGGGCTTCCTGTTGAGCACCGATTGCAAGCCCTGTTCTGATCAGTGGCACAAGGAAGTTCCCCAGCCTGCAAAGGCTGCAGTTAATAATAATAATAATAATAATAATTTTTATTTATACCCCGCCCTTCACAATTCAATAACCGGGATCAGGGCGGCTAACAACAAATTTTAAACGCTTTAAAAACACTTAATTATAAAAGCAGCATAAAGTACAGTATAAAAACATGAATAACAATAAAAATCAAAAATCAGTTAGATAATCCCCAGGGCTAGCTGGCTGAATTGGTCCTACTTGGGCCAGCGAGGAGGCCAGGGGAGAATTAGCTGTGGGGTCTCAGAGCGGGTGATCTTCATAAAAAGGGGAGAGGGAGGGAAGGAAGGGGAATAAAAGATCAGGCTGAATTCAAATTAAAGGCCAGGCGGAATAGCTCTGTCTTTCATTCCCGACGGAAGGAGGTTAAATCCTGCAGGGCCCTGGTCTCATGGGACAGAGCATTCCACCAGGTCGGAGCCATCACTGAAAAGGCCCTGGCTCTGGTGGAGGATAGTCTGACTTCCTTAGGGCCCGGGACCTCTAAACCAGTGTTTCCCAACCTTGTGCCTCCAGCTGTTTTTGGCCTACAATTCCCATCATCCCTTGCCACTGGTCTTGCTAGTCAGGGATGATGGGAGTTGTAGGCCAAAAACATCTGGAGGCACAAGGTTGGGAAACACTGCTCTAAACTATGGTTATTCATGGACCTTAAGGTCCTCTGCGGGGCAGACCAGGAGAGGTTTGCCATCCACAACACAGCCCCACTGATCTCTTTCCACACCTCTCCTGCAGCCGTGTGCAGCGGGGAGATCACGGACGCCGCTGGGGTGGTTTTGTCCCCCAACTGGCCGGAGCCCTATGGGAAGGGCCAGGACTGCATCTGGGGTCTCCACGTGGAGGAGGACAAGCGGATCATGCTGGACATCCAAGTGTGAGTTGTGCCCCTGTTTGGATCATTATTTCACGGAATCCCAGAACTGTCAAGCTGGAAGGGAGCTCAGGGGAGCCCAAGTCCAACACACACACCCCTGAAATGCAGGAATCGCACCAGGTTCTCCTACTGCAGCAGGAACTCAAAACGGCTTGCAAGCTTTCATAGTAAGCTGCGCAGCTGCAGCCAGGTGAAAGAATATGTTGTCAGTTCAATTGTGCAAGTTTCAGCGGGAATTGGCTTCAAATTGACACATAGCATTGTTCAGCTGTGGAACTCCCTGCCACAGGACACAGGGTGGCTTTAAAGGAGGATGGGACAGATTCAAAGAGGAGGAGGAGGCTCACCCTAGCTACTTACCCTAATGCAGAGCTGTAGCTACGGGGGGGCGGGGGGGGCTAGCCGAGTTTTTTGCTCAGGGTGAAGCCTCGAGGGGGCATCCTTGAGGCTCACTGCTTGCCAAACTTGGTCTTTTTATATATATATATATATATATAATTATTAGGAATTTCAACATAACAGTTTATCAAAAACACATCATCCTCATCCCCCCCCCAATTTCCCCCTCCCCCCCTCCCCCAAAAAAGAAAAACCCAACCCAGACTTCCCTCAGCTCCTCTCTCTGGTTTCTCAGCACATATTATTCTCTGCATATTATAAAATTGTAAAGATCCTTAATTAATCTATCAGTAATTTACCAATAAAAAAATTGTGTATGTTTATTCAAAACCTGCCAAGGTGTTCAGTTCATTTTGTTGTTTCCTTAAGTACTTTGTAAAAGGTCCCCAAAGTCCTTGTCACCTAGTTTGTGTGTCGGTTCCGCCAATTCCACATAGTCCATCAGCTTCTCTTGCCACAGTTCTTTGGTGGGGATTGCCAAACTTGGTCTTTGACCCGGGTGAAATAATGCCTAGTTTTGCCCTTGCCTAATGGTTAAATTCTACCTTCACCATCCAAAGCAGTCGACCTCAAGCACCAGGCAATCCTAGGCAGTGGCATAGCGTGGGTTGTCAGCACCCGGGGCAAGGCAAGTAATTTGCGCCCCCTAACCTGTGGATTTGCGCCCCCTAACCCGTGGATTTGCGCCCCCTAACCCGTGGATTTGCGCCCCCTAACCCGTGGATTTGCGCCCCCTAACCCTAACCCCCAGATGTTGCGCCCGGTGCAGCCGGCCCCCCCTGCACTCCCCACGCTACACCACTGATCCTAGGCAATCCTACCCAGAAATTTGCTGGTATGCCTCTTGGTTAATTGTTGGTTTTGATTTTTTGGAATGTTTTGGTCATTGTTGAAGTTTTCCACAATCAGGCAGTATATAATTTTTATGAAAAGAAATAAATAAATAAGGCCCACTGGATCCCATTCCAGCAGATCTGGCGTTCTGATTGCGCCGTCAGTGAGCAGCCGTCAGGCTTTTCCTAATCGGCACCTCCCTCCGCTGCCCCCGCCATCTTGCCATTCCTGCACCGTAGGGGGTTGGACTAGATGACCTGTAGAGCCCCTTCCAAACCTACAATTGTTTCGATTCGTTTCAGGTTACGCCTTGGCAAAGGAGACGCGCTGACTTTCTATGACGGGGACGACTTGACGGCCCGGATCCTGGGCCAATATTCCGGCCCCCACCGGCGGTTCAAGCTGTACACCTCCATGGCTGACGTCACCATCCAGTTTCAGTCGGATCCGGGGAGCAGCGTCTTGGGCTATCAGCACGGCTTCATCATCCACTTTGCAGGTACGTGCAGAAGCCCCTGAAATTTTGGAAGGCGCTGCCCTGGTGTGGAAAGAAAAGCAAAACAGGTTTCTATTTCTCTCTGCGTGTTTCTCTCCTGGTTTCCTTCTTGGGGAATGGGGCATATTAAGGAGACGGAAATCAGGATTGCATCCAACTGGGTCCTACTCAGAGTAGACCCACTGAAATCAATGGACCTGAGTCTCCCAGGTCCGTTCATTCCAGTTGGTCTGTTCCGGATATAACCCTCAGAAATTGAGAAAATACAATTTGCTTCGGCTTGTGTGTGCCGCTCAATTTAAGAAACTCAGATTTATTAACAAGGCAGTCAAATGCAGAATCATATAAGCATGAAATGTGCACCAGAATCACGCAGAAGGATAAAAACTTGGCATATACCAAGGTGCACATTACAAAACACAAAAGCTCAAGTCATGAGGGAGGCTGCAAGACCTTGTCTAAATTGAAGAGTCTTCCCAGGAAATTTAGCTATATCAAACGGACCTTAGCTGTGGTTCCTGAGGGGGTTGGACTAGATGACCCTCGGTGTCCCCTCCAACTCTCAATTCTGTGATTCTAAAGAGAGGAGTCCCATCAGTTGCTCCACCCACTTTTACACCTGGCCACGCCCACCATGTGTTTGCCCCTCCCACCTTACCCCAGAAGTTGGACCATGAATCAAGGCGGGCAAAGTTCTTCCTCCTTGCCACCCCCATGAGACAGGCCTTTGGTCTCACAGAATCATAGATTTGTAGAGTTGGGAGGGACCTTCAAAAGTCATCTAGCCCAACCCCCCCCCCTGCAATGCAGGAATCACAGCTTAAAAATCCCCGGCAGATGGCCATCCAACCTCTGCTTAAAAACCTCCACAACCTCCCGAGGGAGTTTGGCCCATTGTCAAATACAGGGGTCAGCAACCTTTTTCAGCTGTGGGCTGGTCCACCGTCCCTCAGACCATGTTCGGAGCCGGACTATATTTTGAAAAAAAATATATGAACGAATTCCTGTGTCCCACAAATAACCCAGAGATGCATTTTAAATAAAAGGGCACATTCTGCTCATGTAAAAACATGCTGATTCCTGGACCATCCGTGGGCTGGATTTAGAAGGCGATTGGGCCGGATCCAGCCCCTGGGCCTTAGGTTGCCTACCCCGGTCAAATAGCTCCGACCGTCAGAAAGTTCTTCCTAATATGTTTTTAATAGATAGGTACATAGATGATAGTTTTAATGTTATTGTTATTTAATTGTTTCTTAATTATATAAATAAATATAAAATAATATTAATAATATTAAACCTGAATGTGTTGAGGTGCATGTAGTTCACCTGGTTAGAGGATGGCGCTGATAATGCCCAGGTTGCAGGTTCGATCCCCGTAAGGGACAGCTACGTATTCCTGCATTGCAGGGGGTTGGACTATAGATGATCCACAGGGTCCCTTCCAACTTAATAATAATAATAATAATAATAATAATAATAATAATAATAATAATTTGTTATTTATACCCCACCCATCTGGCTGGGCCTCCCCAGCCACTCTGAGCGGCTTCCAACAAAAGATGAAAAATACATTAAAACATCAGTCATTAAAAACTTCCCTAAACAGGTCTGCCATCAGATGTCTTCTAAACGTCAGATAGTATAGCATACAATCTTCTGTAACTAAGACACCTCTGGCTAAAAGATTATCAAATGCAATTAAATTAGCAGGTGCAGGAAGTACCTATAAATAAACGGCAGATCTTTTTCCTTAAATAATCTCAAAACCAAAATTATGTACCTCGGATCAAAAACTAACTGGGGGAAAAACATGTTGAAAGTGTATACATTTACAATCTGCAAGTATCCTGTCTAATTTTCCATTTTTGTTAAGGAAATATTTTATGGTCAACAGGGACACAAACTATTGCTGCAAATACATGTATACATCTTCTATGAGGATGCCGTTGCACTTGTCGCTGGTCCGAGAGGGCTGGAGAGTGCCTGGCCTCAGCCGCCTCCTTCTGCCCACCTCTCTGGGGTCTTCCCCTAATCTCTGCTCCCGGCCTCTTTCCCTGCAGAGGTTCCCCGGAACGACACCTGCCCTGAGCTCCCGGAGATCCCCAACGGCTGGAAGACCATGTCCCACCCGGAGCTGGTCCACGGCACCGTGGTCACGTACCACTGCTACCCCGGCTACGAGTTGGTGGGCACCGAACTCCTGATGTGTCACTGGGACCTGATGTGGAGCGGGGACCTGCCCTCCTGCCAGCAAGGTGAGCCAGGGGAGTGCAGAGGATGCAGGCAGCCAGATCCTGCAACTGTGGGATTTAGAGGGCTGGCCTAAGACCCCGGACACCAGGGTTCAGATCCCTGCTCAGCCACAAAGCTTGCTGTTGTGGGATGTGACCCATGAGAGCAGTCAAGTACAACATTCCTTGTTTTCCTAGAGAAGACATGCGAGGGAATGCTTGGTCCAGCCAGTCGAAACTTCCTGTTCCTCCTGGCTGGAGCATCCTTCCTTTTGCATGGGATAGAAGGTGGGCGTGACCTTACCTGTCCAGGTAACAAAAGGACAAGTCACGCAGCACACTCACTCTCTTTTTCACTTCCCTTCTTCATTGGACCAGCTTTTTAGCTAGAAATGCTCTGCTCTGCTTTCAGCTAGCAGAGGCACTGGGATTATTCCCCCATATGGGGTAGATCCACATGTACATATTTGTAACTAAGTCTGCCTTCAGGGATCCAACTGTGAACCGATGTAAGTAAATTTCTTTTACTTTACTTTGCTTCTTTATTGACTTTAAATAAGATTGTGGCCAACAAAGGTCCATATAGTAAAAGCCATGGTTTTCCCAGTAGTGATGTATGGAAGTGAGAGCTGGGCCATAAAGAAGGCTGATTGCCGAAGAATGGATGCTTTTGAATTATGGTGCTGGAGGAGACTCTGGAGAGTCCCATGGACTGCAAGAAGATCAAATGCATCCATTCTTAAGGAAATCAGCCCTGAGTGCTCACTGGAAGGACAGAACCTGAAGCTGAGATTCCAAGACTTTGGCCACCTCAGGAGAAGAGAAGACTCCCTGGAAAAGACCCCTGATGTTGGGAAAGATGGAGGGCACAAGGAGAAGGGGACGACAGAGGACGAGATGGTGGGACAGTGTTCTCGAAGTGACCAACATGAGTTTGACCAAACTGCGGGAGGCAGTGGAAGGCAGGAGTGCCTGGTGTGCTCTGGTCCACAGGGTCACGAAGAGTCGGACACTACTAAACGACTAAACAACAACAACAAATATTGTGGCATCTTTATTCTTTTAAAGATGGATTCAGGGAAACTTACCAGGAACATACAATTCAATCTGAGACAGACTGAATTGTATAATAGTGAGAGGCTCACACGAGCCTGCAACCAGCTATCTGCTGTGCTGTGTAAAGGGGAATGTTAGCTCTGCCAAGTAAAGGAACTTGCTAGCGCAAGTTAGGAAGGATATTAATAAACAATATATCCTCTCCTGCCACCCTGAACATTGCCACAGCTGGGTGGTGTCGGCCTAGGCGCTGTCTCTCTCAGCCTAACCCTACCTCGCAGGGATGTTGTGAGGGGGAGAGGGAGCCACTTCTGGAAAACTGGATTACCTTCAAGACTGGATTACCGCAATGCGCTCTATGTGGGGCTTTCCCTCCTCTTGATGTGGAAGCTGCAGTCGCTGCGGGATGCTGCAGCACGATTGCTGACAAGAGGAAGGCCTTGTCAGCACACCACAGCTCTGCTCAGAGATCTGTACTGTCTGCCGTTTTGCTGCCAGGCCAGGTTCAAGATCTTACTATGAGGATAGAAAGCCTTTAACAACTTGGGACTAGCCTTCCCCACTCGACATGCCTCAATCGGTGGAACTGGCTCTTTTCCAGCTGCCACATAATCCCTGTTCCAAATTTGCAAGAACTCAATGTTATAGTGTGGCAGCGTCTACAACTTTGGAACTCCCTGCCTATTGATATCAGGCAAGCACCTTCGCTGTCCTCTTTTCGGTAACTGATAAAAACGTTCTTGTTTTCAGGTCTGAAGAAAACTGATGCAAGTTTTAACTTGTTTTTAGTCTGTTGGTATTCTAACTTTGGGAAACACTACAATTGCTATTGGTAATTTTTCTTACTGATAGTTTTATTGTTTTGTAAAGCACTTTGAGGTTTTGGGGGGTTTTCTGCAATCAAGTGGGGTATAGATGAAATGAAATGAAATGAAATGTAAATATGTATCCCTATTGGCCTCATCTGTCAAGGAGAGGAAAGATCCTGATGTCTGGGCAACAGGGGAACATATTTGCAAGATCAGATCTGTTGTAGCTTTACCTGAGAAGGAGGATCCCAGTTACATCCTTCCACTCTCCTTGGAAGGAATGCTCTTTCCCATCCAGTGTCCAACACGACGGCTTTAATTTCTCAAATCGCTCTTCATAATTATTCTCCGGACGATCACACAAGACTTCTTAAGTGTCCAAATTGGAATTTGCAATTGGCTGAGGCAAGAGCTCCCCCTGCTGGCCTTTGTGATGCTGCTGCTGCTGCTTCTTGCCTCGTACAGAGTCAGATTGTGGCTCCATTAAGCCCAGTGGTGTCCACACGGACCGGCAGCAACAGCTCTCCAAGAGGGTTTCGGGCAGGGAGCCTTTCCCCCAAGCCTTACCTTGAGATGCTGCTGTCGGAAATTGAAGCTGGGAACTTTTGGCCCTGAACTACGGTTCTCCCTCCCAAAACGCTGCCAGGATTCCAGTTCAAAGGCTGATTTAAACAGAAGCACTGGAAATTCTCTTATATCAGATGGGTCCTTCGAGCTTAGCAGTGGTGACACTGACCTGCAGCAGCTCTCCACTGAGCTACCCTGCCCCTTCGCCACCCACCACGCTGCTCCATTCTCTCCCTCTCCAGTGACCACCTGCCGCGACCCAGGAGATGTGGACCACAGCCGGCGCATGGTTTCCGAGAACAAGTTCCCCGTGGGCTCCACCGTCCAGTTCATCTGCGACAAGGGATACGCCCTGGCGGGCAGCGGCGAGATCACCTGCCACGACCGGCAGGCCGGGGGTCCGAAGTGGAGCGACCGTCTCCCCAAGTGCATTCGTAAGCTGCGCGGGGTCTCTGTGGCTTCTCCAGCTCAGTTCCCCTCCCTGCAAAAAATTAGAGCCACTGAAATTTGCAGGCATCACTCACTTGAGGTCCATTAATTTCATCACACAGGGGGAAAGATTCCTGCATTGCAGGGGGCTGGACTAGAGGACCTTTACGGCCAATTCCAACTCTACAATTCTACGATTCTAAGTGCAAACTGTGGAACTCCCTGCCACAAGAGACAGCAGTAGCCACCAATGAGATGGGTTTAAGTGACGATTGGACAGAATCCCCATTTCTGGAAACCACAGGAGGGGAGAGTTGCTCTTGTGTTCAAATCCTGCTTGTGGGTTTACCAGAAGAGACATCTGGTTGGGCCCTTTGAGAAAAGGATGCTGGGCTAAATGGACCCTCTTTTGCCTGATCCAATAGGATTTCCTTATGTTCATAGGCTCTTAAAAGACCCTGGAAGTACACTCCATTGACTCTCGGGACAGACAGCTGCCAACAACAACAGCCCTCTCTGTTAATTTCTCTCTCTCTAAATTTTTATTCAATTTTTTTTAATGTAAACATACAACAACAACAAATACAAAATACAAATATCAAGATTACTCTGAATCTCCTGACTTCTCCCCATCCCTTCCATGGGTCCTACTGATAATCTTTACAGCGGCATATCAATACTGTCCAAGTTTTATCCATTCAAATTAGCCACACTTTCCGTTAACTTACAAGTATGGTTAAAACATCCTGCTAATATTCTAGCCTGCCTACAACGTTCTCGTAAAGAGATCATAAACTTTCCCCCTTTCTTTTTTTAAAGTTCTTGTTGTCCTCTTGATTTCTGAGCTTCCCAGTTAATTTTGCCATTTCGGCACTGTCCGTCAACTTGGTTTGCTGTTCTTCCTTCCGTCTCTGGGCTAGCAGCAGACCACCTCCCTTAATTTCAATGGCTTAGGCAAAATGAGTCCTGGCTTCTCCCAAAGAATCCTGGGAACTAAAAGTGCTGAGAGTTGTTTCCCCTGTTCTCCTCCCAGAGTGGTTAAACAACCAATCCCTGTTCACAAGGAACTCTGGGAACCGTAGTTCTGCGAGAGGAATAGGGGCTCCTAACAACTCTCAGCACCCTGAAGAAACTACCATTCCCAGGATGCTCTGGGGGAAGAAGCCATGGTTGTTTAAAGAGGCACCACAGTGCTCTAAAGACACGGTGAGGATGCAACCCAAGGGCTCATTAAGATTTGGGACCAGCTGTTCTTAACGAAACTTTCCTCTGCTCTGCAGAAGATATCACTGGGTGCATTTTAATCTGGTTGCAAAGACAGGCTCACCCAGAATGCAGCCTCTAGTATCTAGCTCCGGATATAATTTTGTGAATAATTTTGCGTCAACGCTGCACCTGGGGTATGTGTTATCTCCCTCCGCTGTGCCATTTCCGCCTTCCTTTTCTCTTTCTCTCCTGCGTAATGAAAGGAAGGAAGAGAATAGACCGGCGTGCTAATTTATGCAAATAATAATATGCATATTTCTGTCATTTTAATCTGGCTTCTAGGGGGATAGGCGCCTTGCAACCAGTTTTGAAGATTCGTTTTTTTTAATTCAAAACATCTAGAGCCCAGTGCAAAGTTCTCAGTCCCCACACCAAAAGCCAGTGGTGTTTCAGTTCTTCAGCTGCAATTCTTGCATGGTAGCGGGTTAGACTAGATGGCCCTTTGGCTCCCTTCCAATGCAACCGTTATGTGGTGTAATAGTTTCATGTCACACTAGGATCTGGGAGACCATCATCATTTTTAATTTGTATACCGTCTTTCTATCTTACAATACTCAAGGCGGTTTACAAGCTGAAGAAACAAAAAATGTACATCTTATAACAATCTAATGCAATACCAAAATGTGATAATAAAACATAACTTTAAAACAGGCAACCTACATCAAAAAGTAACATTCAACAATCATTAGAATATTATTAAATAATAATAACATATAAAAGTTAAAACAGAAATCCACTCAACAGTTACAATAAGTAATTTCTAAACTATAATCAATAAAACAATGGCAAGCCTCAGTACATAAAATAATACAAATACAAATTGAGAAGCAGAGACTAGAGGGTGGGACAAGGCAGGTGGAAGGAGCATAGCTGTCAACTGTCCCTTATTTGGCGGGAAAGTCCCTTATTCCAGCGCTGTGTCACTTAAATTTCCTGGGTTTCAAAGGAAGCAGCTCCTCTCCCTCCCTCCCTGCCGGCCAGGGAGGAGGGAGGCTCCAACTGTGTTGCTTGGATGCGTTGCTCACCCAATGAGGAGTCTAAGAACGACTGGGGGTGGAGCTTGCATGCCTTGTGTCAATCAAATCAGCTGCGTTGCCTGGGGACTCACCTTTGCTCAGCGCTTCCCAGCGGAGAGGTGACGGTGGTTTTCCTTGCTGCATCCCCTTTGCCGGGTTGCTGTGCTGTGGGAACCACCGCTTGAGGCTTCGTTTGGCTGCTGGCTGGGCTTTCTGCCTTTGGCTCGGAGGGGCTCAGAAGTTGAACATACCTGTGTTCGGAAAATCCCTTATTTTGGCTGCTGATCCCTTATTTTCAAGGCTGCTGGTTCCTTATTTTCAAATCTGTAAGTTGACAGCTATGGGAAGGAGGCCTTGCCTGATGGAGTCTCTCCCCTCACCAGGGTTCAAATCCCTGCTCAGCCACACAAAAGCTCAACTCTCAGCCTGGCCTACCTTGCAGGGCTGCTGGGAAGATAAAATCAGGAAGGCCGGGAGAGGGGAGGGAAAGGGAAGAACTGCTTTGAGCTCTTCTGGCATGGAGGCGAGATACAAACGGTAAGAAATAAACAGGAGTTTTGCACTTTTCAGCGGAGGTCTACGAGCCCTGCCACAACCCAGGCAGCCCCGACCATGGGGCACAGAACCCCGAGAAAAGGCTCTACCAGGCCGGGGCGAGCCTGCGCTTCTCCTGTGCCAAGGGTTACGTGCTCCTGGGCGACGCCACCCTCCGCTGCGTGCCCGGCCACCCTTCCCAATGGAGCGGCTCCCCTCCACTCTGCAAAGCGGGTGAGTCCCTCTGGGTGGCGCAGCTGAGCGGGGGCGTTGCTGAAACCGTCCTCCCCTGCAGTAGTCCAGCAGTCAGTTATGGCACCCTAACTTTGCCCTTTACCCTCTCCCTCTCTCTGCCTTCCTTCTGCAGCCTCCTACGATGAGTTTTATACCAATCGCAACCTGGACGGTGAGTTGCCTTCTTTTTGCAAAGGGAAAGGAGGGAGACCGTTGCACCCCAGAGCGAGGGCAGTATTCTTAGCGACCCACAGACCTCTTTGCTGGCCCCCTGCGCCCCTTCCCCTACACCCAGGTCCTACGTAGCTCCTTTGCCAGCAGAGGATGGCCCCTTTGAGCAAAACCCACCAAGAGACAGTGGAGTGTCAAAGGAGGACCTGGGGGAGTAAAGGTAAAGGTAAAGGGACCCCTGACCGTTAGGTCCAGTCGTGGCCGACTCTGGGGTTGCGGCACTCATCTCGCTTTACTGGCCGAGGGAGCCAGCGTACAGCTTCCGGGTCATGTGGCCAGCAGGACTAAGCCGCTTCTGGCGAACCAGAGCAGCGCACGGAAACACCGTTTACCTTCCCGCCGGAGTGGTACCTATTGATCTACTTGCACTTTGGCGTGCTTTCGAACTGCTAGGTTGGCAGGAACAGGGACCGAACAATGGGAGCTCACCCTGTCGTGGGGATTCAAACTGCCGTACTTCTGATCGGCAAGCCCTAGGCTCTGTGGTTTAACCCACAGCAAGCTTTAAATCCCTCAACTCTTGTGTGAAGTTCACTGGGGGTAACCCTGGGCCAGTCACTGTCTCAGCCTAACCTGCTGCGGTATGAACACAGAAGAAAAATGCAAAGAAAGAAATGAATTAATCAATCCGATATCCGCCCCTAGGCAGCTCCCATCTAACTGGCTTCTTGCTGCCTGCCAGTCTCTGGGGCTGACAGCTTCCTGATTCTCCTCTGCAATCTCAGTGTTGCCTCCTATAGAACTAAGCCAGGAACAGGAGGAGGTGGGGACAAAACTAGGACCAGGTGCGCAGCCTGGGAGTTATTTTGGATTCACAGCTGTCCATGGAGGCACAGGTCAAATCTGTATCCAGGGCAGCTGTTTACCAGCTGCATCTGGTATGCAGGAAGAGACCCTCCCTGCCCGCAGACTGTCATCAGAGTGGTGCATGCTCTGGTTATCTCCCGCTTGGACTACTGCAATGCGCTCTCCGTGGGGCTACCTTTGAAGGTGACCCGGAAACTGCAATTAATCCAGAATGCGGCAGCTAGACTGGTGACTGGGAGTGGCCACTGGGACCACATAACACTGGTTCTGAAAGATCTTCATTGGCTCCCAGTATGTTTCCGAGCACAATTCAAAGTGTTGGTGCTGACCTTTAAAGCCCTAAATGGCCTCAGTCCTGGATATCTGAAGGAGTGTCTCCACCCCCATCGTTCTGCCCGGACACTGAGATCCAGCTCCGAGGGCCTTCTGGCGGTTCCCTCATTGAGAGAAGTAAGGTTACAGGGAACCAGGCAGAGGGCCTTCTCAGTAGTGGCGCCCACCCTGTGGAACTCCCTCCCAGCAGATGTCAAGGCAATAAATAACTATTTTACTTTTAAAAGACACCTGAAGGTGGCCCTGTTTAGGGAAGCTTTTAATGTCTGACACTGTATTGTTTTTGATATTTGGTTGGAAGCCGCCCTGAGTGGCTGGGGAGACCCAGTCAGATGGGTGGGGTATAAATAAATTTATTATTATTATTATTATTATTATTATTATTATTATTATTGGCTCTGGTTCTGCCTACCATTGGGCTCTTTGCCTTACCTGTCCCATCAGGGCCCTACCTACCAATGCTCCTTTCCCCCTCTGGGAACAGAGTCTCGGCTGGCCCCCATTCCCTCCCGCTGACTGCCTCCCTCTCTTTCCCTCCCCAGCCGTGGCCAAAGTGGCCCCCGCTGCAGACCCCCTGCAGGGCAGCAACGTGGCTTTCGCCATCTTCCTGCCGGTGGCCGCTGTGGGACTCCTCCTCGGCGCTGTCTACCTGTACATCTCCAGGTGAGCTCTCGTGGCTGTGTGGACACACTGCATCACGGGGGGGGGCTGCTTCCTGGTTCGTAAGGAGCATCTCCACCCCCATCATTCTGCCCGGACACTGAGGTCCAGCGCCGAGGGCCTTCTGGCGGTTCCCTCGCTGCGAGAAGCCAAGTTACAAGGGAACCAGGCAGAGGGCCTTCTCGGTGGTGGCGCCTGCCCTGTGGAACGCCCTCCCACCAGATGTCAAAGAGAACAACAACTACCAGGCTTTTAGAAGACATCTGAAGGCAGCCCTGTTTAGGGAAGCTTTTAATGTTTGGTGCATTACTGTATTTTAATATTTTGTTGGAAGCCGCCCAGAGTGGCTGGGGAAGCCCAGCCAGATGGGCAGGGTATAAATAATAAACTATGATGATGATGATGATGATGATGATGATGAAAGCCTTTTTCCCTACCACCCCAGAAACCAAGGGAAGCCGTCACTGCAGCTGCCCCTATCGGGGTCCCACCCCTACGATCACATCACGGTGGACTCAGCCTTCGACAACCCCACCTACGAGACTGGAGTAAGTGCCAAATCCCTCCCCTTTATGAGCGCGGAGAAATTCGGAATCCCTTCTTCAGGCGGGGCAGGGTTAACCTGCGGAACTCCCTCCCACAAGATTGCAGGGATTGCCACCGACTTGGGTGGCTCTGGAAGAGGGACAGGCAAATTCATGAAGGAGGAGGAGTGGAGGACTACAAGCCACAAGGGGAGATATACTCTGGAGTCAGAAATGACAGTTTCTGGAAACTCCGGGAAGGGAGAGGGCTCTGGGGCTCAAATCCCATTTGCTGGCCTTCCCATTGGGGCACCTGGTTGGCCACCATGAGAACAGTGCGTTGGCCTGATCCTGCAGGACTGATCTTCTGCCCCCCACTTCCTTAAACTTCAGCCGAGGGGAGGGTGTGGGGCAGGGTGGGTGGGTCACCTGCCTTGGTCCCATCAATCCAAGTGCCCAACCCTTTGCAGGCGTTTTTCTCTCCAGGAGGTCCGGGAGTATGAAGTCTCCATCTAGGGCAGGCACCACTCTCGAGGGGAGAGCCGGAGGGGCGGGCCCTGCTCCCCGAACCACCACCGCGGCCGCCCTACAACGACCCACCCTCCCTTTGACGACTGACCGACTCCGTGGCTGGCTGACCCACACCCAGAAGGACTTGTAAATACCTCCTGGCCTGCCCTACAGACAGACCCCCGAGGGAGAGGAACATCAGGGTCCTGTGTGAGCTGGCGGCCGGCGTACTTTCTCTCTCTGTCCTTCCCCCTTCCCCGATTCCAAGGCTTCCCGACCCTCAGAGCCTAGCGCTGGAACAGGGGCAAAATCTAGGCTCCCGGCAGCATGCTGCACCCCCAAACATCCTGCCACCAACTAGCCTGCGCTGGATACCATCCCTTCCTCAACACCACATTCTCGAACCTTCCTGCCTCATTCTTAGCTACAACCATGGTTTACTGGAGGGGGCTCCACAGCCACGGTTTACTGGAGGCAGCTCCACTACCATAATTTACTGGAGGTGGCTCCATACCATGGTTTACTGGAGGCAGCTCCACAGCCATGGTTTACTGGAAGTGGCTCCACTGCCATAGTTTATTGGACGCGGCTCCAATACCATGGTTTACTAGAGGCGGCTCCACTGCCATGGTTTACTAGAGGTGGCTCCACTACCATAGTTTATTGGAGGTGGCGCCACAGCCACGGTTTACTGGAGGTGGCTCCACAACCATGGTTACTGGAGGCAGCTCCACAGCAATGGTTTACTGGAAGTGGCTCCATACCATGGTTTACTGGAGGCAGCTCCACAGCAATGGTTTACTGGAAGTGGCTCCACTACCATGGTTTACTAGAGGGGCTCCACTGCCATAGTTTTTTGTGTTTTTTTCCACTGCCATAGTTTTCTGGAGATGGTTCCAAAGCCACGGTTTACTGGAAGTGGCTCCACTACCATGATTTACTGGCGGCGGCTCCACTGCCATAGTTTACTGGTGGTGGCTCCACTGCCATAGTTTATGGGAGGCGTTTCCACAGCCACAGTTTACTGGAGGCGGCTCCCACAACCACGGTTTACTGGAGGGGGCTCCACATCCTTCGTTTACTGGAGGTGGCTCCATGGCCATTGAAGCCCTCACTTTGTTTGGATGCCGAAAATTCCAAACAAATTCCACTGCCATAGTTTACTGGAGGTGGCTCCACAGCCACGGTTTACTGGAAGTGGCTCCACTACCATGATTTACTGGCGGTGGCTCCACTGCCATAGTTCACTGGAGGGGGCTCCACAGCCACGGTTTACTGGAAGTGGATCCACTGCCATAGTTTATTGGAGATGGTATCACATTCTTGGTTTACTGGAGGTGGCTCCATGGCCATTGAAGCCCTCATTTTGTTCGGATGCCGAAAATTCCAAGCCTGGGCTCCAGATGCATCTCCTGCCTCCTCTTCACTTTCACCTCCACTGTGCTGGTCCCGGGGGGAAGGTTACCGTTGACGTAGTCAAAGTCCGGTCCTGGGTCACTAGCCTGGAAACAGTTCACAAGGAGCGGGGCGAGGTCCAAAGCAGGAAGCCGAGCGGGGACAGGAACACTGGAGGGTCAGGTCTGGGTCCGGACAGGAGCAGGTACTCAACGACGACGTTGCTCCTGCCACCTGAGACTGGGCTGACTGGCCTTTATCTTCTCTGAGGCCAGGGGCGGCCCCGGCCCCCAGGAGACCCGCCTCTCCTGGCCTTAAGGCGAGCACTCCTCCTGGGAGAAACCAGTTCCCTTCGCCTCTCTGCCCTGAGCCTCTGCAGTTCAGGAGAGGCTGAAGGGTTACTGGACCCAGGGGGAGACTCACCTGTAGGCACTGAGTCCTCAACCACCTCCGGAGCCAGAGTGGATTCACCTGGTGCCTGCTCCTGAGGATCCAGCACAGGTGCAGGCGCTTCAGAATCAAGTCCCTGCCCCAGTTCAGCCGGCCCTGGAGGCGGGGACTCCTGTGCAGGCTGGGATTCCTCCGGTTCACCCTCTGAATTGGATTCCCAGGCCATCACATCCACAGACTTGTGTTTGCACCATTGAGCGGGCATTTTCCTGCCCCCTCCTTGCAGGAACTGCAGGTCCAACCTCTTGCCTCTGGTGCTAGCCCACCCTTTGGGCCCCAGGCCCTGAGATGACCAGAAGTGAAAAATGAAAAGCCCCCAAATGTTAGGACCGGCAACTCAAGGTTCAAAACATCACGCAGGAATTTTACAAGGACTTTTTAAAAAATAAAATAAAAAATTGAGAAGGTAACATGAATAGGGGAGGGAGATGTTTAACACCCACCAACCACTCTTGTGAGTCTTCCCTTTGGGGGGGCAGAGGGGGAGATTGAACAAGTGGGGCATAGACTCTGCCTCCCACACTGCCCTCTAAGGAGGCCCTACAGGAAGTGTGGGGACCTTTGTCTCCCATATGTTACTGAACTACAACTCCCTTAACCCCTGGCCATCAGCCATGCTTGCTGGGGGCAGATGGGAGTTATAGTTTGACAGCACTTCGTGGAGGGGAAGCAAAGGTTTCCCAGGCCCGCCTTAGAAGCCTGGTTGTGGGAGGGTTATGGGTCATTGGGGTGGTTGTTGTTGTTTAGTCGTTTAGTCGTGTCCGACTCTTCGTGACCCCATGGACCAGAGCACGCCAGGCACTCCTGTCTTCCACTGCCTCCCGCAGTTTGGTCAAACTCATGCTGGTAACCTCGAAAACACTATCCAACCATCTCTTCCTCCGTCGCCCCCTTCTCCTTGTGCCCTCCATCTTTCCCAGCATCAGTGTCTTCTCCAGGGAGTCTTCTCTTCTCCTGAGGTGGCCAAAGTATTGGAGCCTCAGCTTCAGGATCTGTCCTTCCAGGGAGCACTCAGGGCTGATTTCCTTCAGGATGGAGAGGTTGGATCTTCTTGCAGTCCATGAGACTCTCAAGAGTCTCCTCCAGCACCATAATTCAAAAGCATCAATTCTTCGGCAATCAGCCTTCTTTATGGTCCAGCTCTCACTTCCATACATCACTACTGGGAAAACCATGGCTTTAACCATGGCATTGGGGTGGAGGGTGGGCCAATTGTGACCCAGGAGGGGCCAGCCCTAGAAGGCTAGAACAGAGCCTAGGTGGGTGACAAAGGTGTCTGGCCGCACAAGGAAAAAGTCAGTTTATTCCAGATGGGGGTGAAACTCGACTCTGGGTGCACCTACACAATCCACGCTTTTGGAACCGAAAACAGCAGCAGCCTTTCGAAAATTCAGATGTCTCGGAATTTTGCAAGGCGGTTCCATCAGATGGGTAATGGGTGCAAGAAATGCATATATAGATATACACACACGTGGGCAAAGTCCGCATGCCAGCTGCCAGGGCATATAACATGCAAATGGGCATTGTTTCGAGTGGAGGGGGGCGGGGTGCTTTGTTGAGCTGTTTGCGTGAGGCAAAATGGCATATCCAAATGTGGCTACCGGGAGGCAGCTGTGCTGAAACACTGGTGAATTTTCATGAGGACTTTCAAAGTGGAATCCGCAAGCTGCCATGGAAATGTGGAGAACTGGGTCCTAAAGACATAGGCGTGAGGTGTCAAAAGCCAGGGTAAAGAGGTGTGACTTCAGCAGTCGCCGACAGCTGCAGGTGCACTTCTGCGGGGAGGGAATTCCTTGCACAGCTGAGGGGCCACCACAGAGAAGGCCCTGTTGCCCTGAGCCACCACCACCCACAAACCTCTGAGGGCCAAGGAGCCACCCAGAGGGTCTCCTCTGCCGATCTCAGCACCCAAGAGGGTCTGTCGGCTAAGGAGGCAGACTTTCAGCTACTTGGGGCAGGAGTAATTTAGGGCTGACCAACATGAGAACCGTGAATTGGGTCCAGAAATGAACTGCCAACCAGTGCAGATGTTTTAATAGAAGGGTTGCCCTCTGGCTGGGAAACTGTTCTCCTCCTGTGTCACATTGATCCAGAAGAAAGATACCCCCCTTTTTTTTTTTTGCCCAAAGGGGCAGATCTTTACCTGTCCCAACAGGTAAAATTTGACAGACAGGGAGCCCACCTGTCAGTCCTGTGGTACAGGTGATTGACAGGTCAGTTGCCCCACCCATCTATCAAAAGCCCCAATCACAGCGCCCCCAGGGTCCCACAGGCCCTGACTCCTACTCTTCCTTACACCTCCATCACATGCGATCACAACAAACAGAACAGAAGCTTCATTACACATTATATACGTTGGAACGTTCAGGACGAGGTTAAACTGTGGAACTCCCTTCCACTGGAAGTGGTGATGGCCACCAACCTGGATGGCTTTAAGAGAGGATTGGACGAATTGGAGGAGAAGAGGGCGCTTGAAGGCTACTAGCCCCTTGCCAAGTCCAGCAGGTCAGCACAAAGTATCCCTCGGCTGCCACGGTATTCCTTCCTGCAGGAGAGTTCGTGCTCATTCCGTTTCCCCACCAAACAGAGCACCGCATAAGCCCAGAGTCCAATTACTTCCCCCTTCTGCATGGGAAACCTGGATATTGCGCACACGCACTCACACTTATTTCACAGCACAACGCACCAGTCCTCATCAAGTTCTGCTGCTGGCATGGCACTTTTATGTATTTAATTAGAATTTTTTTATTTTTAATTTAATGATAGCCGTGATACCTACATTGCAAGGGGTTGAACTAGATGATCCTCGGGACCCCACCCAACTCTTTGAGTCTATGTGCAACATATATAGATGCAGCATAAAAGGAAAGAGGGACGGGGAAGGATGAGGAAAGGGAAATGACCGGGGCACAAACGCTTTGAACGTGGCTAACGCACCTTCCGTTTGCACAGCCAGCTGGCCCTTCCCTTCCTACCTCTTACCTGGGGAGAGTGGGGGGAGCAAAAGCAGGGAGCTGCCAGTCTCCACCCCACATCCCTGATGCATTTTCTGCAAAGCTGGCTCAATTCTGGAAACTGGCGGTGAGGGGGAACTTTACGTCAACCTTGGATTCTGGGCCAGCATTAGATCTCTGGGATATGGGGCACCCCCTTGGCTTCTGTCTGTAGCGACTACCCTCCAAGGTGAGCCTAGGTGGTGGGTTTGGGGGGAAAGGGCCCCTCCCAGAGCCCCTCCTCGCCTCCCCTCGCCTGCTTAGCCAACCAGGTATGTCTGGACTCCTTCTCTATGAGAAGGGGCCTTTCCAGCTGGGCTCTTGGGGGTGGGAGGGTGGACTAGGCATATGTTTCGGGAGGAGGGGTCTTGTCTCGCTCCCCTCGCCCTAGCCATGCGGGAAGATTTTTACCTGTAGAGTGTAAAATAGAGTAAAAATTCTCAGTTGTTCAGCCTGTTTTTTGGGGGTAGGGAGGGGAAACAGGGGTGGGGGGTTGAGGGGAAAGAACCGACCTTTTGGATTGTTTCATGAATAAAACTGGTGTTTTGGAAGAATCTGGTGTTCTGTGGTTCAATTGCGTCCTACAGGCCTGGCGCCAGCAGCCGGCCAGCTCCAGTGTTGCAATTGGGGTAAATGAAGATTACAAGAGGACAGAGGTGTTGCTGTCACCCCCCCCCTAAAATGTACCCCCGTGCTGAAAAAATAAGATGTGCTGGCCTGCAGTTGTTGAGGGTGGGCAGCCCTGGTGTTCTTGGAACATCCTTTCTTGGGGGCGAGGGGTGTCAGTGCTGGTTCCAGATTACTGTAAGCAGAGGGTTCCAGATAAAATACCTTCATCTTATAATTCCCAGCTTGTTTTTGTTTACTATTTATTTCATAAAATCTATACACCGCTGAATTGCAAAAACAAAACAAAAATGGTTTACAGAAAACAAAGCTATCACTAAGAAACATAAAACGCAATAATTTGAGACTTTTGGAAAGTTAAAACAACAGACCAAAAACAGGTGAAAACTCCCATCTGCTTTCCAAACCTCTGGGTAGGTCTGCCTAAGGAAAGATGTTTTAAGCAGGTGCTGAAAAAGTGCAATGAATGAACCTGCCTGGTTTCAACAGGCAGGGAGTTCCAAAGTTCCACACACAAAATTGAGCGTATACAGATGAGGAACGGGTTCCGCAGATCGAAGCAGCCAAGTGGGTGCATATGGGCCAAGGCAGTGTACTTTCTATAAAAACAAAGTGTTTTTCAATGGGATCTATAGCCATGTCTACACAATACAATCAAAGCACTATGATAGCACTTCCCTCAAAGAATTCTGGGAGCTGAAGTCTGTTCAGAGTGCTGAGAGTTGTAAGGGGACCTGCCCCCACCCCAAACTACCATTCCCAGAGTTCCCTGGGAAGAGGGCTTGGCTGTCAAACCACTCTGGAAATTGTAGTTCTGTGAGGGGGTGTTTCAGATGGGGGAATTATCCCTGTCCCACCTGGATTGAAATCTGGGGATTGAAATCTGGGACCCCTTGCAAGCACAGCAGGTGTTCTGCCACCAGGCTACGCCCCTTCCCCTAGGAAAAAAAGATCCTAGTCCTCATTATTCTTAAAGCAGGAAAATAGGGAGCTGCTTTCTACCGACTCTGACCATTGGTCCATCTTGCTCAGTACTGTCTACACTGACTGGCAGGAGCAATCTGGG